TCAAATTAGCCAATCAGAATTTCACCCCACTCCATAATATTTCAATTTCACATAATTTCAATTTCACATACAACAGGGCCAAAGATCCAAAAAAGCATTTATGCATATTTTGAAAAGAAAGAATGCTAATAATCTTAACATATTTTCAGCTGATAATTTTTGATTTTTTTCTATATTACCAGCTAAAAACATTTACTTTAATTTTTCAACCACTTCTAAATTAATTCTTTTGCCACCACCTTTTTTCCAAATATTTGTTTGCTTTTCAAAGCAAATCCAGGTTTTAATAAATTTTTCATATTAATATCACTAATATCATTATCATCCAGTAGCATTGAATTATATAATAAATCATAACTGCTATGTTGGTCTAACCTTTCTTTGATAACTAATTTATTTCCAGATGAATCCAAATTCTTATCTTTAAGGATGAAGTTTTCAATTTCTGGATGGATGGGTTAGTTTGTGTAGGAATGGTCATTTTCCATTCTGATTGAGGTATTGTTTGGTCACTGATTATAGCATTTGGTTGGCTTATATTATTATTTTTGAGAAGTTTTTTTATATCAGATATTGAATAAATTTTTGGTGATCTATAATTAGGTATTTCATAATTCCTTCTTCATCAGTTGGCCACATAAAAGTGAAATAATTGAAAATTCCTGGAATGGTTCCAACTGATATTTTTTTACTATGATTTGGAGTTAACTTGCCAAATGAAGTACCTGCAAGAGATTCATTAGAAATTACAATATCTTCTCCACTAGAAATGCTATGGCCTAATTTTGTATATCTAATAAATCCATGAGATAGTTGTGCATGGTGAGAATCTACAATGGTCTTAGCTTCTCCTGGTTCCAAAAATTGCCATTTTGTTATATTCAAATTCCAATAACTAGCAATCACCATTAATTCTGAATTATGGTAATGCCCACCGTTATCAGAAAATATTTTAATTGATTTAATGTTTTCATCTAGTTGTGTTAATTGTTGTAGAATAACATCAAATGCTGATGCACTAAACCAAGCATCTTGTTTGCCATCATCAGACCAGTGGTCAAATGCTCTTATCAATAATTCATAATTATTTTTTGATTTGGTGATTACTAGAATTGTATGAAGGGTCCAACCTTCTTTTCCATAAAAGTCATTTTTTGTTTCACATGGACTTCTAGGATTAACCTTCATTTTGTAGTCACAAACTAACACTACATCATCATGTCTTAATTCATGTAATTCAGCATTAAATTGTGAATTTAAATATATCCTATGCAATTGATGGGATAAATAATATAAAAGTTTATTCTGATATTCCTCTAATATTTCTGTGTTAATTATAGCAGTTTTCTTAATTTCATTTAAAACTGTAAATAAAGACATGCAATTATTGCATGAAGAATTATGCTCTTCTGTGCATTCTCCAAAGGCATAAAGAAGACAATGATTTAGGCAAGAATTATGTTCAAGAAGCCCATTATTTAAAACCATTACTTCACCATCTAATTTGCTTTTTAAATGTCGTCTAAGTAATTCTATTTTATTAATCAAATTATTTTTTCCTGTTCCATATAACTGTGAGTTGTTAATTCAATTAATGAATTAAAAACCTGATACCCATAAAAATCACAAGTTATGCACAAACCACCCAAATCCTCTCTATATTTAAATTGACCATCTAATCGACACATGAAACTTGTTCTTTTCAAACCATTAGGATATTCTTCATTGTATTTTTCCCACATTTCTTTTTTTGATGCTTTTAAATATAAAATTGGCTTACCTGTATTTAGATCTGTTTTGTAAGAACTCATTGAAACATTATTTTTTATCATGCAGAAAAGTTTCTAAATCTCTTAATTGTTCATCTGATAACTTTTTTCTTGTCATTTTCACACGATCTTCTTCTAAAATTGATCCTCCACTTCCATACAATCGTGCATGTATCCTTGCAGCATTAATTAAATTATTGCTAACTTTAAGTTTCTCATTTAATTTTGAATATGAAAATTTTTCAGCAATTATGGACAAAATTCTTCGTTGACCATCATCACCTTTTATATTTGAACTCATTGCATCTTCAAAACATTTCCAAAAGATTTTTACATCTGAATCAGAATCCAACTCTGGTTGTAAATTTAGGTCTGTCTCAGTAAAAAGATCCAATGTTTCTAAATCTGTTGCAGTATCTTCAGCTTTTGTCCAATATTCATTATTTTTGTAAATTTTTATTTGTTTACAACCAGATGCATTCAATAATTGTTTACAAGCTCTGATTTTTCTTATAACTGTTCCATCTTTTTCTGAGTTTTTTTCAATAATTTTGAATTTGTATAATAAATTATAAAATTCAAAAAGAGTTGATTTTTTATCATGCAAATATTTTAAAACTGATGTTGTTAGATCTTTGCTATTGATGTGTATCATATATGGTATATGAAGTTTATCAAAAATATTTTGATTCCATTCATGACAATTGGTCTGAAAATTAATCAAATTATCAATGATTTGCTTTAATTCTGTGTTATCTAATAGAAACAATTGTTTACCAGAATAGTCTCTGAATAATCCAGTTGATTTCCATAATTCATTTACATCTAAATTTTGAAAAGCTTGAAGTATTTTTCCACTATTTAATGAATATATATTCAAAAAAAATTTATTCTTATTATAAGTTTGAGAAAATAAAACATATTCATGTTTAGACCTTTCTATGAATGTAATGTGATAACCATCTGAGGGCTCTGATTTATCATATGAAGCATCTACAACAAACATTTTAAACTTGCATTCATTGATAATAAATGGAAAAAATGTAATATCTGCAGATATTTTTTTTAATTGTAATTCATTACCCATTCCAAAGAAATCAGATCCATTCAATTTTCTATATACAAAGCTGTGAGTATGTTCCAGATATTTTTTATAAGGATTATTAACTACTGTTGACATTCCATTGCCAGTTTCATTAATTTCTCCCCAATAACAACTATACTCAGGTTTATTATTTTTCCCTTGATTAACTAGTGTACAAAAACTCAGGTCTTTGGAACAATGAAGCATTTTTAAATGCAATCTAATAGGATAAAATTTCTTTATATTTGTATTTGGGTCTAATTTGCTTTCCCACCAGAATTTTGCAAATGGACCATAATGCAGAGTGCTCACAATAGATACAGATTCAATAAAACTTGAATTAAATTCAATTGACATTTTAAAATGATAATTTTGCAAGAATATAATTTTTTAAATATTTATTGTGTAACGGATAATCGTGTAGTTTGCCGTTTTTTTCTGCCGTTTTTTTTTGTCGATCAATATTTATCACATCCGAAATTTGTCAC